TTTGAAAAGTAAAAATAAGTACGCAAAAACTACTGAAAATCTACTTCATTTGCTTCATTCATCCTTTGAAAATTAATTCATTTTCTTTACATATTTAGATATTTATCTTACCAATAAATACAAGGTTAATTTTTACTGCTATTGCACCTGTTCCTTTGAACAACAAGATAAGTAAGTATACAGCAGTAGGGGCCTCAACATATCCCAAACTGCCCCAAGTTATGTATATGTACCCAAAATTACAAAAATTTAATTTTCAGGAAGTTGTTATTAAAAATCCATTATGATTAACAATGGGATGTAATCTGGCCCTGAATCTGTATAATAGGATTGTGCATGGCACACGCCAGAGGAGCGATCTTCACAGGTATCTCAGGTAAGTGATGTGTGATTTGCATACAGCTGTCTTGTTAAAGGGTAAGTACAGCTTATCCTTTACAAATTGCGTGTGCTTACCTATTATAAAAAAAACTCCATGATGCTAAATTTGTATGAATTAACATACCACAGACACATTGATGTTAACATGTTACAATGTGTCCCGTCACAAACCATGCATTTTTTATATCCCATATAAGGATAAGTTTAGGTGTAGACACACTTTGATGTCCATTTTTTCACCTGCTTCAAGACCAACTTATCAAGATCATTTTTTTGGCCATGAATATGTATATGTTTAAGTACGTATGTAAGTCCAGCAGGTGTGTTTGATAAGTACAGGTACCTACCTTATCCCCAATCCCACCTGTCTTTGTTTGCACATATATTACCTGATTATCAATCATGGATAATCTAATGAAAATGTAAGAGAGGATTTGGCATGAGCGAGTCGTGTGCCGGGAGAATTAACATTACATAGTCGTTACCTCCAGACAACACCTGCCGAAATGTAACCTTATAATCACTGAACTTGGAGGGTTATCACATAAATCAAATATATTTTAGAAATTATTAATCCAAGGTTGAAGCATCGTGACCAAATGCAGCCATAGTAAAGGAGTGTGCCCAAATAATAGACAGAAGATACGTTGCAATTCAATTTGGCTCATTGTAACAAAATGAGGTCAAATGTGTGACATGTTTTCGTTATTTTGGACCACCAGGTTCACGTTTTTGGTCTTATTCAACTTTTGGCAGCTTACTGAGATGGAGATCATTTTCAGCCAATACCTTGCAAATATGACACAAAACAGGGACGAAGCAACAAATAACCAATTTGATGAAATTATGCCAATGAAGCAAAGTTTTACATTCATCTTATTGCATTTGAAAATTGTCTATTGCGGCAAAATGACCATTAATTTATGAACAATTTCCCTTTGCCCTCTCTTCAAATTGTAATGGCTTGAGTATGATTAACATACAAATTGGCGAACAAATTACTGTCATCATGATCGATTTCAATCCATATTCATGCATACGTGGATGTATGTATATGAATCTTACAGTGCTCAAATCTAAACAGAATGAAATCGCACAAAAAGGAAATGTAAGCCAATCATCAAAATAAAATAAATTTTGGAACAAGTTAAGTCCACAGCTCTATTAATGAGCAACAAAATTCTACTTAAATAATATTTGTGGTGAACCACAAAACTCTAAAGTTTTCAGCACAATGCTACCACCACACATAAAATCTGAACATAAAAAAAAACTTTCAAAAGCTCAATCCGATTCAATCAAGGGACATTTACTTTGTTGTTTGAATACAAGGCCTGAAGATATACAGGCTCCCTTGGAAACACACACACAGTGACCAAGGCAAGTAAACCAGACCAAGTAGAAAATATTTACACATCATATTAGGTTTCAACTGGAAAGACAGATGACCCAAACAAAACACACTTTATAATTTAAAAACCCTTTGATCACAAGAAAAACACAAGTCAGTCAATGCTTTGACCATTGGATTTTGTTCGCTAAATCAAGAATTACTCCAATTGTTTGGAGGTAGGATTTCATGGATGTATTTCAGTTCAGTCACCTTAGGGGTTAGCCCAATGCAGGGTCCCCAACAGACATCTTACCATCCCTTCAGAATGATATAAGCTTGCCCAAAATGCTTGAGCTGACTTGTCCATATAGAACACAAGGGGTGTTATCATTATTCTATGAACTATTAGCATAAGAATTGAGCCCTGCGGTGATAACACTCACTGAAATTCTTTCCTCTGCATTCATAAACGTTCTCAATGCAGTAATCCTAGCTAAATAGTTTAATCTCTCAAAGAGTTCGATTACGCTAAGATCACTCCAAGAATGTGAGTCGAATTATTCCTGTAACATTTTGCATTTTGGAAAATTTTAATAAAGATTTATAAGCAAGTGAGATTATGGCAAGTAAAGTGCTTGCTAACAATAATACAAAGAGCGGAGTTATACCCATCTACTTTCACATAGAGAATTACATAACGATATGAATCGAAGGAATTTGGTGATGTTGGTACATGCTAAATTCTGCTCTTTGGTATTATCAGGATCAAATGCTGAGAAGTGGTTCCAACAATCGCTATCAATGGTTGTCCCAATATTGAGTTGAACCTATTGAAAACATGCAAAACAATTTTCACCAAGTAGACGTACATATTATTAAATCAAGGCCTAGATTCATTGAAAATTTTCTATCGCAAACATGACCACTTTGAACTGGAAATAAAGCCTTTTGTCAAAGAACAAGGTTATCTAATTGTGTAGATATTGTTAAATATTTTCATTTAGGCGGTGTTATTATTTTATCTTGGATAGGAAGCCAAGAATTCAACGCTGAATGGAGAAGTTTGGTTATCAGTGATAATATTACATACACAACTGTTACCCATATTGTCAAACACTTATATAATGATCCAACAAGAAAAGGAACAGTACGGACAAGTGAATATGAGATAACCAATGGTACAGAGAATAATTATGCCTTTGGGGCGGGCATAAGCAGAGAGTATTGGTGATTTTATAGGTTTCACCAGATAGCAAAATTGGACATTGAACAAAAAATATTATTGGTAAATCAGTGTATAAATGATACGATGTAGTGATGTAAAAACAGTGTCAGTGTCGTCTTTGTGAGCCAATATGCTGCAGAGCTGTTGGTTCAAAAACAAGTCAAAGTTTTTGATTTTAACTGTGCTAAATGTGGTTGGTTCATACATGACTGTGTTCAGTTTAAATATGCGATCTAGCTAATCTCACCCGGTCAAGAATGGGTCACTTTTATAAGAATGTTAACTTGATATCATTCAGTGTAATACCATTAACAGTGTTTCTTGAAGTGAACCAAATCGGACTTTGCAGCAAGTGTTATTTCTAGAGCTTCCTAGATAAATTCTTGACCCACCCACTAGCTTTTGGGATTTATAATTAATATTTAAATTCTAAATCTACAATTAAAATTTTGCAGTGACACCTATTATCAGTCCCCAGCCAACTATACAGATACTTCAATATTTTTTGTACCAGGTAGATTGAGGTTTCAGAGTGCAAGATTCCTCGGGCATCATAAGCATATGTTAAGTCCATGAGAAACAACCCCGCACACCCCTACAAGAGGCTGTTTGTATTCCTTGTCAATATTTATGGAATTGTAAGCTTGGAATTAAAATACTGTCAAAATCCCTAAGTGCTAAGTTACTCAAATATTTTTCTGTATCATAAGCCGAGAATTTTCTCCATTTGCTTATGCAAAACATCTCATTTTCAGCTCGTTATACTATTTAGTCATGCCACCTATTATTGGTGTTATTTCACACCCATTGTTTTTAATTACAATAGCTAAAAGTTATGCGTAACGTTCACCCACCGTACATATTAAGGTATTTGATAAAGACTTTTTATTCACTAACATTTTTGGAGCATGTAAAATTTAAGTGACTGTGCTCTTCATGTAAAGAACGTTGAACTTACTGCTTATAAAACATAAAACATATGAATATCCTACTTTGATACAAACATAAGTTTGAAGCTTTCAGTAAAACATTGATCATTTCACATGTGAAGGAATTTAGTGTCAAATCAGAGACCATTTAAGCCCCGTGATCAAATACACCTTCCTCCTATGAATTAGAAAGTACATAAACTGGTAAAAGGCACGTTTCTCAATCTGATTTAACAATAAACCCACTGTTGACTATCAGTCTAAGATTTCCAATCTTTTTTTCTTTACTTGTAACTTGAACTATTGCACTACTCCTAGTGAATTTTATATATACAAATATACAATTCAGCACTATATTAAGCCTATTGATGGGGAGGTCTTCGCTGAATCTAGCGTTATTAGATCAGGTGAATTTGTTTCAAGGCAAGCTATCCCCGAAATGAAGATATCAGATATGTTTTGTCGTTATAGAGACAAAATTATATAATAATAGTTGCTATGGTAACCTACCTGTGCAACATAATGCAATGAAGGTCTGCGCATGTCGTTTAATCATGTGTTGGTATTCTTTACTTAATGGTAACCGAGTAAGGATTTGTTCTAAAAAGTCGTGTGGGGTGATAGCAGATAAGTCCCATTTTAGTCTTTGAAGTACTAGAAGTTCAAATTCCTGAAAAAACAAGAAAACGGTACATTATTACAAATTCTGTATCAAGAATCTCAACAGTCACTTAAATGAAGAATAAAGGTCAAATAAATAAAATTGTGTTGTATACAGCACTGTATGAATATCAAGTATTCTATCAATTGAATCTGAGAGGTACATGGTTCACTGAACAAAAGCTCCGCAAAAGCGCTTCACCAATTCAGTTCTAACTCAAAAGGTTTAACAGCATACATGATAGCCACCCTAACATTGTAATATTAAACTCTCTATACAATTACATAATACAATTCAGCAACTTCATATTGAAAATGTAAATTGGCTTATTTTCTTTACTATTGCATGATTCCAAGAAAATAACCCTTTTAACTGTATAAGAAAAGTATACTTAAAACACAAATGTACTGAGTTCACAAAATGCATTGCTGATTGACAGGAAACTGGTAATTACTCAATAAAAAGGATATCCTCATAAATTTAATGAAAACAATGGTTTAGTAGTAATGATAGATTATTACTTGAATATGAAGCTATGAAAGTCTATTTCCTGTGTCTGCGATGGTGTGACTTTCCAAAGCCAGACGAAATAGAACATGTGAAAACTATGCTTTGAATTACACAATGAAATAATTTATAACATGACATGAAATTCGCATAAATGCCAGAAAATTAAATATTTAAAACTAGCATTTGTTTTTCAATGTTGCCACTTGTGATTTTTGATAACCCTAATGTGTGTTCACTGATAAAAGAGATGAATGCATTAACAGCTTCAGTTATCTTGATCTTCATTGCCTTCTGATAATCATTCCCATTGTGTATCTCATTCAAGGACCTATTAATGGTACTTTCCACATAGGTGTGACATTTCTGTATCCACACAGTGCAAGCCTACTACATCCCAGAAGTTGTAAACCCAAAGTTCAGAGTTCATTCATGTTTTTAACCATGGGAAACCAAAATCCTGGTCATTTGGTCTAACAACATTTCCTTTGGTCAGTTCAAACTACCTCTGAATGGTTTAATATTTAATAAATTGTTGATAAATGCTATATTAGACGCACTTGATGTTCTACTAAAATGTCTTTCATTTTGATTTTTTATCACTGTGGCCTGGTTTTATATCTTTTATAGGACCATTTTCAGCTGGGACACTTCATTTATCTATACCTGTGCCATCTAAAGCACAAAGGGCAACACTCAAAAACCAAGAACAGGAATGTTAAACCCATGTTTAAGTCAATTAAAGTGCAATTGATACTTACAATTAGTTCCTCTAAAGTGATAGAATTGTCTGTATATATAACTAATTTTTCTGCTGTAAGTGGAATTGTCTCTTTTAGTTTACTTGCAAGGAACATGCAGGCTGCTCCTAGCATTTGTAGCTGACTCTTCTTAATATTCACTACACTTAAGAATCTGTCTAAATAGTTCATTGATAATGGAAACACTTCCTCTTCACATTTTTGTTCTTCACAAACCTGGAAAACATGAAACAGTATCTCATTAGTATAGATTCATCAGTTCATCAGTATAAAAAACATGTTTTTGCAATTTTGCAACAATATCTTTCTTTTCAGCATGGTATTGCAAAGTGAAAGACTAGGAAAAGAAATTGACCATATGGTATGCCAATAGTTATTGGTAACTATAAAATACTGAGAAATGTTGTCACTCAACTTTAGTTGCTAGCAAGTGGTGTCAGAAAGTAGCAATATTTCAAACAAAACACCCAGTCTAGCCTTTTGCCCTCTGTTACCATGGTATACGATCACATATAAAACATTCGCTTTCCCAGGCTTTAGTGACATTTAAAAGTTTTGATTTTACGTCCTGTACTTATTTTTGAATGCATCGTTGAGATTTCAGCTTGATTATCCATAAATGTGAAAACCATGCGAATATTCGACAACCGTGGCCAAATATTACCCAAAAATGTTAAACTTGCACATTCTGGAGTTTAGTTTAGCTGTTAGATCTACATATATATATCAACATAAGCCAAACTTTGTAAACTTTCAACACTTTGGCTGATCGCCATTGTTGGCCATATTTTGATGAAGAAAACTTTGACATGAAACTTTACATACCTCCAACATCCATGTAGCTACCATTTTCCTCATGTATGGTTCAATGTCTGTTTGTAAGCATTTGAAATAGTTAGGTGATGGCAAATAGAGCTCTTCTTGAGCTAATAAGTTCGTCATAACTTTGTCTGTGAGAAGAACAGGGTCTTCAAATGCCCGTTTCATTTCCATCTCTACTTCACCGCAGAACAAATCCATATCTGTGTGTTACTCCTATATTATGTCCTTGTTTCTGTTAGTCGATTCCTTGTCAAGAGTTTGTATAATTTAGAGGTAGATCTAAGCTATCTTTCGGTTGTTAGGATGGTTTTAGTTGGTATAAATTTCGCAGTACTTCCTAACCCAACAACCTGTTAGCTCTGATATTTATTTCACTGTCCTAAAAGTTTTGTGAATGACTTTTCACAATCTGCTCGCTGATTGGTTCAACGTGGAGGAGGCGGGGTCAGAAAAATGATTGACATGCATTTACGTTTACCAACACACACTCGCTGGAAAGAAGTTAGATTAATTACGAAATCAGACTAATTAATCAAGAGAATGTATTGCGAAATGAATAAATGTGTTTTAGAGCACATGCTATGAAAAAATCGAGAAAATCTACAATTGCGATTTTGAGAAAATTGCCTTTGTTTTGAAGGAATGCATAGACATAATGAATGATGCACCAAACATGACATAGTCCTGCGATTTGCTTCGCATGGAGTTGTAATTACTGTTCATGCTCAAAGTCATCGTTATCATCACTACATGAATTCACGGTCCAATTCTTGGTTTCATGGAGATGCATACGTGTATATAAATATCTTTATGTACGAATGTATACATTGGTTTTTATTCACTTAATAATTCATAATCTAGCAGGTTACGATGATTAGGACATTTTAATTATGATTGCATCCTGGGATGCAATTTGGTATATTCTTCTTAAGAATTTCTGTTTTTCTGAACAAAAAATGAATGTTCACTGAACAAGGATTCCAAGCTTATCCAAGTTTTTTAGTTTAATGGCTGTCGCTATGGTCAGTATTTACTGGTAAGTAAACTAATGTTGACATCATACATGTATGTTCTCACATGTATCGTCAACAAGTAAACAATTATCATAATCATGTACATGCAAATCTATGCAAATTCCTCGAATTCTACACTCTAACCAATAAGCGCATGTTGCCGGGTGGAGAATCTATTTTTAGCTTTCATCGTCTGGCTTTTGGGTACATAGGCTCAACCAATAAACCTTCGCTATGTGTTCACATGTGATAATATACTCCACGTGTCAAGTTGAACTTATACGTTATCACATATAATTGAGAAAGAACAAAAAATAACAGTGGTCTATTTAATTGAGCTTGCCACAGAAGCATCAAGTTTAACTGAAGATTGCTCCAGATCCTCATCCTTGTCTGTCAAAATTATATTTGTTTCAAAATCTATCAAGAAAGTGGGCGGAGCTTAATTGGAAGATTCTATTTTGAAGGGGTGAGAATATATTAATCCGAATTCTATCCTTTAATAATTCTATAAAACTTAAGTAATAGAATAAAAATATAATTTTTTTCCATATCTTTATATCTAAAATGCGTGTAAACCGACAATGTCAAAATTTTTATTTGCTTTCAAATAATTTATCTACGGTCATTTCCCTTAAAGAAAAATGGAGTGACCGTGACGTCATCTTATTTAAATATATGCCGGGTAAAAACACGTGGCAGATGTAAATAAATAACAAACATTTGCCGGCTGGTGAGCTAGAGACTGTTCACAGTGCAATCTATTTTATGTTGGTGAATTTTTATCGTTTTACTTGCGATATTTCAAAATGAGCACTTCTCTTTATATTTGGGACTAGGAACTATTCATTGACCCCATTAAACAAAATTTCATTTGAGCAAAAAAGTGATCTGCTTCAAAAACATGATTGCAAAAAGTAAATAATGCTAAATCCACTTGAAGAACCATCTCAAACACTTCATATATCAATGTATATATGTTCCAATTTAAATATGAATCTTAAACATCTTTGCATTCTATTAAACTTATTTCAAACATCATTGGATGTTGGCTTTATTTACAATAGGATGTACATTCACACCCCATCAAATCTCTAAATATCTTCAACATCAGAAGATGCATGGGAACTACAGGTAAATGGTAAACAATATATGTATATTAGATTCCAAGATATTTTAATGCCTGACTCCACCAGGCAGCATTCAGATTACTAGTTGCATCAAATTGTTTTATAACCTGATAAGGGCTAATCCATTATTTCAATGGTGGGGTTATAGTTATGTTAATTTTCCTAAATACCTGTATATAATGTGAAATATTTGTGGTAGCATTATTGAGGAAATCTTAATCATAATTATATGTGATTTATGTTTATTGGCTTGTGGGTATGCAGGGGGGGGGGGGGTTTACATGAACTGAAAAATGAATGAAGCCCTTTGATGAAGGATGGGGAGGGGGAATTACTTGGGCGCTTTTTACTATTATGTAGAAAATTAGTCTTGCTTCAAGACTGTCGACCCCCTTATCTACTTTCCACCAAAACACCTGGTGTAAATTAGATAAGAAGGGGGGGGGAGTCCAGGGTCTTGAAGCAAGACTAGTAGAAAATCCTGTGAGGTTCTGCAACTAAAATGTATAATATTCATCTTTTCAATATTCTAGGTTTCTGCCACTAAAAAAAATCCAATCAAAAGTTTACTCAAAAAGCAAACTTTAATTTTTGGAGGGGGGGGGTCAAAGCATCAATTATTCAAAAGATAAAAAAGGTTAAAAAATATGAGAATGTTGGAAAACCTAAAGCAAGACTACCTTTTGGGCTACTGTACTCCTGGTAAATTTTGACGCCATAAAATTTCGCGATTTTTCAAATTTGCAATTTCGCGGCTATTTAATTTCGCGGATTTGAGTTGATTCAACCGTGAATCAGTGCGTATCTGGCTATTTTAGCATGTTCAGAATCCGAATAATGTATGTATTTCCCACGTTTAGGGCATTTATTTGAATATTCTTGAATGGCTTTTTCAACTTCAATTTGTATGATATCATTGTCGTCAACAGTTCTTGCCTTTGTTGGCCTAATAACCCAATAATTCAAAATGTTAGACATTTTAGGCCATTTTGAATTATCGGCCAACAACACTGGAAGAAACGTTTTACACCGAATAAGACATATCAAAAGTCCCATGCCAAATCCCCGGGGATTTAAAAGACAAATTCGCGACGATAAATGTTCGCGATTTTACTACATTCGCGAACAAAGCGAAATTAAATCGCACGCGAACAATACCCGGAGTACAGTATTTTGAAATACAATAAGGGCAAACACATGTTTTCACCAATAAAAACTTCATCCTTATTTCCTTGCATTTCTGGAATAGTATTTAATGAATAATGAATAACTGTTTGGTAAAGCATAAAATTTCACTCAATGACCAAGATAATATTTACATATTTACGTTTGATAAATACTGAGTAGTTCCAACAAATAAAACAATGCCTTGACCATATGTATATAATCTAGAATTCTAGACCGAATTAAAATCACTATAATCAAGTTTTATTACTCAGTTCAAAGCATAGCATTTCATACATAAGACAACATGATAAATATTGATTCATTTTGGCATGGCCTTCCACAAACCAGTACAATTCACATGCTCAGCAGTCTCATATTTATTTTGGTTTTGGTTTGTTTGTTTGTTGTTAGTTGACAAGGCCTTGTACAGAAATGTATGTGCTGACTGCATTGCATCCTTTTTCAAAGGACTTCATGATGCTAAAATGCTATATACCTTTGCTGCAAGGGTGACTGCATTGCCACATTGTTTTTTCTTTTTCTATACAGACCCAGATTCGCTACAATCTCCCCCCCCCCATCTCAAAAATACAATGGTAAAGTAATGCAAACATATTCAGTGTTACTTCATTTATTTGCATTCATTTAATTGCATCGATAAGTTAAACAGTATGTATATGGCCTTGTTGACTAGAGGGAGGTGTAGCAAAAATATATATTTTTCTTTTTGAAGTGGGGAGGGAAGGGGCTCACTACGGCTTTAGCATTAGACTAGCCTTACCCTTATATAATCAACCATCTCATTCTCGTTAGGAATACATTATATTGTATAAATGTAATAATCGGCTGATTTTGAGAAGTAGGTTAAATCTTCATCCTGATTGAGATTACTCACTTTGATTTCATTTGCATGGCTGTGAAGTCTAAGCAAACTACGCACACGGAAAAGTGGATAAGTAAGTCCACCTTGGATTAGGCAAATTCTTTTATTGAGTTTGGATTAAGTCTACATGATTCCAAGGACTTGTAAATTAAGTTTTCATGTTTGCAGTTGATTTGTTTGTTTCTTACCTTTGATCAAACGGATCAG